AAGTTGGATATTTTTTGTCAGATGTTCACTATCGTCCATAATTTATTATTATTTTTGTTGTATGAATTTAAAAAAACTGCTATGCTAAATAAGAATAATGTATTTATTTATCTTTTTCTAGTATTGTTTGTTCACGTTTATTTATTGACATTAAATAAAAATCATATTTTTGAAATGTAGCTCAAGTTCATGTAATATAGACGATTAATATGATTTAACAATATTTAAGAGCTTTGACAAAAAAAAAGCTCAGCCAATGAGTAAACTTGAATAAAAACCATCAGATTATTTTGAAATTAATCTCAATGGCTTTGAATAATGCGAAATAAAAATAATCGTGATGTACTACTACACCTCCAGAAAGCTATCAATTAATTTTTTTCTCTTCGAATTTCAATGTACAGAATTAGAAAGAATAATGAATGATGCCGTATAGTTAGTACATGTCGTTATCTGTTTATTATCACAGAAAAATGTTGCTCTTTCTCATTTTCTCTAATCGTAATGAACATGAGAAAGTCTTTCCATTCATTATGAATAAGTGAATTGATTGAGCGACTTGTCATCATATTATTACCTATAATATTTTAATACTAAAAGAAACTATAGATGATGAATAATCTAGAGACGACCTACGCATAAATTTATAAGCTATCATCATAGTCATTTCCCATCTCTTTTTATTTTTCATTTCTGCATATCTGAATAGTCTAATTAAAAACGCTATTTTTATCAGTACGTAGATAGAAGCAAGAGTAAAAAGGAACGACACTAGAAAGCATTTTGTTGTGAGATGAAAAGAACAGTTTTGGTTGTCTTCTGAACAATGGAACGATATTCGCTAAATTTTGCTGACTGGATAGTGTGTTTAAAAAAGATTCAGGTAGATCCGTTTCTGTCTCGCTGAAAGTTAGATCTGTTGGTCTTCACAGTATTCACATAGACCTTAGTACAGTGCAGACTGTTAAACCTGTCAGTTTGAAACTTTTGACATAGGCAAACAATTTTATTCAGTAAACACACTTGATTAACAAAGAGCTCAACGAAAATAATAATAAATTATGGACGATAGTGAACATCTGACAAAAAATATCCAACTTCTATGTATGTATGCGTACAAGAAAAAATAAATTACATTAAGCTCATTAAAATATCACACATTAAAGTTTTGTCACAAGAAAAACCCAAAACCAACCATATAATGTGAGAGAGAACAAGTAAATTGAGATTTTTATTTTATTCTCTCATTTAATTTATTTTTTACATTGTTTATGTCGTATTGCCATTACTATTTTCAGCCGCATTATTTGTCATTGAAGAAGATGGACCTGATTCATCCAAATTCTGAAATAAAAATAAAAAGGAAAAAAATATGATAAACTATATTATTCTAAAAATCGAGTATGAGAAAGAAAAATTAAGCAAAAAGAAGAGTCAGTCAAGTGACTAGTGAAAATTATTAACTATCATGTCATTTTAGTTTATTTTTTGATAACAAAAATAAACATAAAATATGTAACGCAATATTATCTGACACAACGAGCATTCATTTTGGCCAAAAAAAAAAAGAAGCAGATTTCACTGCTTATGATTATAAAAACAAGTAAATATTTCTATCTGACAATGTGCACACATAAACAAATAACAGGTATAAAAAGCACCAATTACATTTCTTATTTGAGATTCTAAGCGACGAGTGAAAGATGTGAGTAAAAGAGATTACAACTAACTATTATACAATTAAACAGTCACAATTAGTAAATATAAAATAAGAATGACGAAGAATAACAGATCAACTGCGTCGTTTGGTTATGCGTAAAGCATCAGAAAAAAAAAAGTAATTCATCTATACACCCAATATGTTTTCATCTTATTGTAATTTCAAAAAAAAAGAATACATTGAAGCAAGAGTAACATGCTGCTACAAGCGATACTCATGATAAATATTCATATGTGATTTTTTTGATTTACATATTGTGTTATCTAGTAAATGATAATAATGTAGTAAAAAATTTTTATTTGGATGTAAAAAACAATAGGTTTTCGATATTCCGATTGCTTCTTCAATTGATAATACAAGTACAAGCTGATTTTGTTTTTGATGTTGTTGTAAATCAATTCCAATAATTAAATGATACATAATGGGTTTATGTTGAATATTTAATATTGTTGACGTTGTATTATAAATCTTTAGTACAGATTCAAATGATGATATATGTCCATCTATTTTTGGTTTACAAATTAATAACATATCATTAAATAGTAATAAAACACGATAAGTTAATGAAGATAATTCTAAAAATAAATGTTCATCTAATAAACGTTTATCAATAACTGAAATTGTTGATGGTTGTAAACGTTTTTGTAATCGGTATTCGACACTAGTAGTTTCTTGTACTACTGTTGATTTATCATGTTTCATTTGTGTTAACAGACAATTGAAACGATCAATGACAAATGCACATAAAACTATACCAGATTGCTGTTGTTGTTGTTCTAATATTGTTTTTAAACAATTAAATTGACAAAGTAAACGTTCATAATGATAAAACAATGTAAACAGTAGTTCTTTTTGTCTTGAAAATTTTTGCCACTGTTCTTTAATTAACGATACAGAATTTAAATAAATAAACATAATTTTATTCATATCTTTGTTATTTCTAATAAGTTTGATATGTTCTTGAATATAGTTCAAGTAAGTTTTTAATATTTCTTGTTCATTGGCGTTTTCTTTTTGTATATTATTATATTTATCATTTAATAAATTATAAAAATTCCATTCTTCAGCAATCAATAATGTATACCAAAATTCATATTTCTCTTCTTTTTGTTCATATTGTTTTTTCGCAGACAATTCATGAAAACAAGACGATTTTATACAAGCTTTTTTTGTCTTGGATGTTACTTCTTTAAGACAAAAATGTGTTTTTCGATTTGATTCTGTTGTTAATACTGTAGCAGATGTTATTGTTGATTCCGATGATGGATAACTGACAGATGACTTAGTGTAAGATGATGTTTCCACTAATTTATTTTGAATTGGTGCGAATGGTGAAGATGAAATAGAATAATCATCGTAATTGGCTGGATGACGACGAACAATTGGCACTAAAGACGTATCGTTTAATTTGGAGGAATTATCCTGAAGTAATACAAGAACATCCAAATATTCACCAATGACCACTTTTGTTCCAGAAAAAGTCAAAAATTTGTTTTTTGAACATATTTGTTCAATAAGCGTTGAGTGAGATAAAAATGAATAAGATATTTTACGTTAAGATTCGCTAAGCTGTCTTACAGAAGAAATTTCACTCACAATAAAGAAAAATGAGAAAAAAGCTTTTTCTTTGTCACGTCTCGCAAAAAGTTCTCAAATCACAAGTTTCTTCCAGCGTCTAACTGAAAAAGAGTAATTAATCATCTTTTTTTCAAAAAAGAAATCTAAACAGTCTAAACATACGGACAACTCTCAAGAAGTAGTTGGTTATCTATATAGCATAGTTGAATATAAGAGTAGAATGTGACAATAGAAAAAAAATCTCAATTATCAGCCAAAAGCAAGAGTAGTGTAGATAAAGCCGTATAAAGTTCAACAAGCAACGTGAAATCAATAGCTACTCACCTCTAATTCTCGAAGTATTTCATCAATAAAATCTTGTGAATCACCTGATTTGTAAGCATGAGCTAATCTAATTGCATCACGAAATAGCTAAATTCAAAAGAAACATATTTCATGACATGAGAACAACAGAAAAATGCCAACAACATACTCGAACAACATTTGATCCATTAGCGGCGGAAACAAAATAGAGTGGCATATCATGTTTCTTTGGAAAATTAAAACTTTTCTTTGTTATATTTAGATCAGCTAAAAGCAATATATATTAGTCTTTAAATTAAATTCATACAATTTATTAAGATTCACCATCAATTTTATTCACAGCACATAAACAAGGAATTGCTTGTCTGGCTTCTCGTAATTCTTGATACCATCTATCAAGGTTTTTATATGTTATTTTTCTTGTTGCATCAAACACCATAATGCATGCATGTGCTTGATGAAAATATGATGGATGAATGTTATTAAAGCGCTCTTGTCCAGCAGTATCCCAAAATTCAACGGTTGTATTTTTTCCTTCAATTTTTGTTGAATATTTAAATATATTCAAAGCGTAGGTTGAATGCTGCTGACCTTTACTATAAACAAATATTTTCTTATTCAATCCATATTTTCTTTTCAAAGAAATACTTTGAACTTACTAGGAGTCAACAAGAAATCTCTCTAATAATTTTGACTTTCCAACCTATAGAAGAGAAAGCATTTCAACAATGTTCGTGTTTTTATTTTATGCATACCGCACTGTCTCCCAAACAAATAATTTTCAGCTGCTCATCGTTCGATGTTATCGTATCTGAAGAAACCACAGTATCAGTCATCTAAAAAAAATTCTTTTGAGTAAAAACCTTGCACAACGCATAGGAATGTCACTGAAAGGAGAACATATACTTAGAGTAGTCCCCCTCATCCGACAACTTCAAGAAGGTGAGAATGGAAGAATATGAGAACTTAACAATGAAAAGCAAAACCAGCAATACTGGATATTTTCGAGTCTGAGTCGTTTACTGCATTCACACTGTAAAAAAAAGTAATGGCAAAAACATAAAAAGTCACAGTAAAAACGTGACATCGTGAAACTAATGTCACGTCTTAACTGTAACTATATATATATTTTGTTAACGTTTTTTCTGTGGCAATGTCACGTCCTAATAACATCTAAAAACGGATTTTCCGTGACATCACGTTGCATTAGTTAAAATAGACCAATGAGGTGAAGATAATGCAAGGGGGTAAAAGCACCACTTCACCACTTAATTTCACTTCACTTCACCTAGGTAAAACGCTGCTGAAACGGTCGAAACAATAAAAAATCACTTCAATTTCACTTCAAGTTAAGCGGAAGTGGTGAAATGGTACTTTCCCTCCCTTGCTTCCCTCCCCTATCAGGGGCGCCGTTTCAGCAGTGAAGTGAAGTGAAGTGGAATGCAGTGGTGCTTTTACCCCCTTGAGATAATGTCATATTTTTCCCGTTACATGGTACGGCAAATTTGAAAAGAGAAACGCCCGTGGTTTTTTCACCTACTTTTCTCTGAATCACATACAAAAGTTCGTTCGATCATTGAGTAAGGTATGTAATCATGGGCTTTTCAACCTGGAAGTTGCCAGTCAGATATGTAATTTTTCACGCACTTTAATCCATATTTTCACGGAAAAATTACAGATCTGACTGATAACTGCCAGATTGAAAAGCCTGTGATTACATACTTCACGGACCTTACCTAATGATCGAACGAACTTTTGTATGCGATTCAAAGAAAAGTAGGTGAAAAAACCACGGACGTTTCTTTTTTCAAATTTACAGTGATCGTATGTTTTTCCTGTTGATTGCTGCATTTTTTTTGGAAAGGTGGTGAACATTACAAGATACGGCATAGCCGGAATGAATGATTACTGTTCATCGGAGCAGACAAGGTTTTTTTCTGTATTGGAAGAACAACTTGGCTATCATTTAGTCCTTTCAGGCAGTGTTGGCGCCAGCTAGATCCAGTTTTGACCTTCCTCGGAGCAAACGTAAAAGTTGTTCCGTATTCTAAAGAAACCAAGTAATGAAAATGTTGGGAAAATTTGACCGTTGCGGTCAGATAACTTTTATTTTACTCTTACTGTACAGTAGGGAAGAAAGCTTGTAGAAAACGAACAAAAAAGTAAAAATTCACAGTAATACAACATGAAAATAAAGATTTAGACCTCTGCAGCAATCTTGGTGTCAGCTAGGTCCAGTCTTGAGCTTTCTTGGAGAAAAAGTGATAAAAACAACTTTTCTTTAATTTCTTCAACGTAGTTCATAAATAAGGAACGATGAACAGCAACGATGAAGAAGAAAGTAAAAATCGTCGTTATGGATAGCGGCTAATGACTTTTCATGACTAAATGTTTTTATCTGAGATAAAGGGAAATGACCGTTATGCAATTAATTAAGTAATGCGACATTCTAGTATTTGCTTAAAACTACCATAAACCAACTCGTTTATCTGACGGTCGGACAAACAGACAGTTGTACCTCTATGTGGTAAAAGGGATATTTCACTCACAATAAAGAAAAATGAGAAAAAAGCTTTTTCTTTGTCACGTCTCGCAAAAAGTTCTCAAATCACAAGTTTCTTCCAGCGTCTAACTGAAAAAGAGTAATTAATCATCTTTTTTTCAAAAAAGAAATCTAAACAGTCTAAACATACGGACAACTCTCAAGAAGTAGATGGTTATCTATATAGCATAGTTGAATATAAGAGTAGAATGTGACAATAGAAAAAAAATCTCAATTATCAGCGAAAAGCAAGAAAGAGTAGTGTAGATTTTGTGAGCATAAATTTGAACGAGAAGTGGTCTGTAAAGTGATCTTCTTCATTTTCGAAGTGAAAAAGAGTAGGAAACGACTTTTACAAAGTGGAAGATCGCTTTGCTTCCACAGGGACCAACAATCATTAGAAAAACTGTCTAGCATTGTTATGACGCTGAAAATCTGTGGTTTGAGGTGGTGACTATTTTTACTGACCAAATTTGATTGGTGTAACCATTGGATAAACCAATCAAATTTGGTCAGTAAAGTCAGTCGGTCAGTAAAAATAGTCACCACCTGGTTTGAAACAGGAAAAATGTGACTGCAAAAGTTGACGGCAAAAACGTTGAAAATAACGGTTTTTTCCCGATATCACGATAAAGCCATTTCATTGAACGTTAAAAAAGTTGAAACCAACGGTAAAAGTGTGACATCCCGAAAAAACAACATTTTAATGTGACTATGCCACGGATTTTACGTGACTTTTTTTTCCAGTGCAGCCACACATATCCGACATAAATTGAGACGAAGTATAACTATGGTCAGGACAGCAACCCAATCAGCTTTTGAATACTTGCCTTTAGCATGTAATGCGTTGCATCGCCACAGGATTGTCAAATATTTAAATAATATATTTACCCCTAGTAAAAAAATTTGGAAATAAGTTACAGATGTACTTTTGAAGAACAAGAAAAAATTAGCAGTTGGAGAGAAATAATTTCAAAAGGGAGAAACAAGGCTCTATAAATTATCGAATATTTACCCCTATTCGCTGGTCACTGCAATCGGTTCTGGTTGAACAAGCTTTAAAAATTTCTTGACCGGCTTTTGCTTGATATGTTGGTATTATGAGACTTTTATTAGAGAATATTGACACAATTATTAGTTAGAGCGATTAAAGCCAGCATTAAACAATCTAAGATAAAATGCGTACCCACCTGATCTTACAGCTTTCAGAACGTAAACAAAACTAGCTTTTGTCAGTAGAATTAACCATCTCACTAATGTTTTTTACAAGGGCAAATCTGCAGGTCGGAAACCAGCACAAAATCAGTTAAAATCATATATATTCTACGTAGAATCACGTCCCTGTCGTATCATACTCCAACTCATTACATTCTACAGTAGAATCGTAGGCTCTAATAGCCGATCTTATTGATAGGGGCTATTATGGAAATGAACGTCGTACAAAACTAATATTTTTCAGGTTTCTGTTGCCCAATAGGAGAACTTCTTCTTTTGTCTGTTTATCATTCAACTGGTGTTCTCCGGTCAAAATATTTTGTATAATAAGATTATATTACAGTTATTATACGAATTTCTATTAGGATTTTTTTGTCTCTTCAGATCCAGAATAGGTTTTCAATATATAAGAATCCTTCATATCCATAACACGAAAAGTAAAATGACAGAAAATTCAATAGGAAAACAGGGGCCTGGGGCCTGTTTCTTAAAAAAAAAACTTAAGTAGAAAATCTGACTTAAGTCAAACTTAAGCGCAAAAAAGTCTTTGTCTTTTTTGACTTAAGTAAGATTTTCTACTTAAGTTTTTTTGAGAAACAGCCCCTGTTTCTCAAAAAAACTTAAGTTTTACTTAAGTGAGTTTCTCAAAAACACTTAAGTATAATTTCCTGTTACTTAAGTGAAATTATTCACTCAAGTAAAACTTAAATTTTTTCGAGAAACAGGCCCCAGAGCACTGGACCACACATATCAGGAGGCTATGCAGCTCCAAAACAATTGAAAATTCGGTTTTTCTCATATTATCTCGATGAACTCTGCTCCGTGGACTTTCTTTATTCAATCTGTACTACTTGGGAAAGACATTCAGTTTTACCCCCTTCTAACGTTTGACCCCTATTTGTGGTATACACAAAATAAAATATACTCTATCAAAACCTAACCAGCTTATAGTGGAAGGTAGAAGAAAATTTAATAATTCACTAGTGTGCCATAAAACAAAAATGAAGCACACACACACGTTTTATACATGTTAATATAGGTAAATAAAATAGAGATAATTTGGCATTTTCCTGTTTTGAATGCTTGCTTGCATCAAAGTGACATCTCACAAAGAAGATATTGATGAATGTATGAGAGAACTAAAGACCTTTTTTCATTGGTGATATAAGGCGACTATATCATTTCGATAATTCATTTGTCTTTACTTATATATATGGTTTTTTGATTTGTTAGATTAAGGTTTTAATCGATCATTACATCTGATTCCATCTCTGTCTGATATGAATTTTTTCCAGGACTATGACCGTGATATCTGGAGTGAGTTGCATTGATCTGTCTTTTCTTTGAGTTACACATATAATGACGAAGTTTGTCTTCACTAGCTGAATAACCATTAGTTTTTATTCAATCACCCTGTTTTATTCAATTTGATCAGAATTACTGTCAGTTGGGTTTTGTTGAACTGTACACCTTTTACCACTATTCTACCACTCCTACACGCATAACAATGGAGGATATGAGTGATGAAGCAAGTGCAAGAGAAGCTCGTTGGGTACATCATGACAAAGATCTCTTGTCTGGCCGCGGAGTGCCATATCGAGTTCAGGTTTGAAACAACAAAACTATTATTTCAAATTAGATAAATATATTTTATTTCTCTGTTTCAGTACATGGGCTCAGTTGAAATTTTATGTTCAATGAAGACGTTAGATTTTGATCATCGTACACGGGTTGCAAGGTCAGATAAGATTCCAATTTACATCATAATATCAAAAAAGTATTTGGAATATTTTAGAGAGTCTATTCGTCTTGTATGTTCATCTATCGGAATACAATTGAAAGAGAGACGAAAAGTAAGAGATTTTATTCTCTAGCCACGAAGTAACATTTTCATGTTTTTTTATAATTATATAAATACTTTTTCTTCGTAGTACCTTATTTATTTCCAAACGTTTCGATTGATAGTTCAATCTTTCTCAGTGGATACAAACATTGATTAAATTAATTAAAATTATATACACAAAATTGAACAAAAACACTTTTTACATAGGGACATTTTCCCGTTTTTTATTATTATAATGTATACAGTCCGCCTAGACAAGTTTTGCTTAGGATAAGGTTACATAATTTAAAAGGACTGGTTAAGAAAGGGAGGCCAAAAACGGACAAGTTAAAGATGCTTGTGGGACTACAGCTTTTTATTATCGACTGTATATATTATAATAATAAAAAACGGAAAAACGTCCCTATGTAAAAAGTTTTTCTGTTCAATTTTCTGTATATAATTTTAATTAATGTTTGTATCCACTGAGGAAGATTGAACTATCAATTAAAACGTTTGGAAATAAATAAAGTTATTACGAAAAAAATGTATTTATTTATAATTATAAAATCTCATCTAATTTCGTATGGATGTTGACTTTTTTCAAAAATAACATTTTCATATTTTAGTCTGAACCATTTATACTGTCCGTGATCGCAGCGAAACCGAATATTATACATAGTAGAACCCCTGTTTTACTCACTATCGATATGGAGGCATTAATTTTAAAACGAATAGTAGATTCGCAAGTAAGACAAGAAATACAATCATGTAAATCTGTTTTGCTGAATATTTAACTGTTATTTTTTTAATTATTTTTCAGATACTTTGCTCGCATAAAATGGAAGGAATATCATTTGCTAGCGCTGGGGAACATGTAAGTGAAGAAAAAGAATATTATTCTTCGTTCTATTTGTTTTTGTTAATTTTAGGAAACAAAAGATTACATTGCTTATGTAGCAAAAGATAATACAAATAAACGTGCTTGTCATGTATTATTATGCGATGAAAATCAATCATTGGATGTTATAACAACTATTGGTCAAGCATTTGAGTTACGCTATCGCGACTATATGCAAAGTCAAACGGGCAATGGGGGGTATGTTTTTATGTTGTAGATTAGTGGATCATACACTATCGGAGGGTTTGTCAAATAATGACAAAGGCTAATCAGTACCCATTTTTATTTCTATTTAGATCATCAAGATCGTTAGAAAGAAATTTAGGCGAAAATTTACATGATAGACCGATACAGGTACGTAAATAATGTGATCCAACGATAGATGTGCTATACTGAGTATTTCAAACGAAGTAGAGTAAGCGGTCTATTTGTTTATAGCATTTGTCGTCGAAGTTTTGTGTAGCCAAATTCTCTATTCTGTTGACAACAAACTTGAATATTCTGTTATGTTTTTATAAATTTAGAAGTTGGCCGAGAATCAAAGCCATTCAAATTCTCTCAGTCATAATAAAGGTAAAGATTCGTTTTCAGATTATAATACGCTATTTTGTTTTACATACATTTACAATTTTGACTATGACTTGTTGAAAAAGTTTGTTATGTGGTTTTGACATTTCATTAAAGAATGTTTCTTCATCTGAGAAAAGCATCTTCATGTATTTTTATGTAATAGGAATCTTTAAAATAAGGAGATATCTCTTTTGGTATATGTGATTTGATTGCAGCCATATGTGGCGAATGTCTCCTTTTGCTGTATCGTTCCACTAACTGAATTATGTCTACTTTGTACTGTTACTCATATATAAGACAGATAAGGGCAATGCTCCTTCAATATATAAGTAGTTCTTATTTGATTCAAAGTGCTGTTGAGCACTTACGATCCATCAAGTACTTAGATCTTATCAAAATGACTTTGGTCCCAGCCATAATAATGTTAACTTTCGATTCTTCTGTGTCTGTACGTTCCTTTCTGTCATGAAAGATAACATCGGGTTCTTTCTTGATTTTGGCTGAGCCTAATTTTTGTGCCCACTTTTACCAGGAATATTTGCGATTCAGTCAAACACCAAGTTCGCAAAAATCAGAATGAAATTGTCCTCACTGGCACATTGTATATGATTCAAGAGCCTGTTCTAGTACTCGAGAATTCGATGGATGTTTAATTGATGGTATTAGGAGACTGTATTGTGTTTTGAAAAAATCGCGTTTTATAGAGAATATCTCTAAGTTTGATACGCATCTAAGCACCACAACTACTTTTCCCCATCGGCAACTATTTTTCTCGCTAAGCATAAGGAAAAGTATAAAATATACAAATATTCATCAACATCCGTTCTTTATTAAAATATTACCACACATACAGATATCCGTATAAAATATCATTGTTGAAGATAGTTTTGTCTTATATGTGATAAATAATTGGCTTTTTTACAGAAATGAATCTTGAAGGATCTCCTATAGTTGACGGGATAATTATTTTTCAATATGTCAATCGATATGCGTTCGACGATCCTGTGAGCATCTCAGAAGATACTGTCTTTGTTTTAGAACAATGGCGGCAAATGAACAGTCTTGATCAAGTATATAAAGAGCCATGGTATCATGGACGAATAGGTCGAGATGAGGTACGTTACTAACATTACGAGATCGTACTGACTTTTGTTAACGATGCAATTGTCAGTATTTAAGAAGTTTAACCTACTATATGAATGAATTATCTACTTTTTTAATGATATAGGCTGAAATGTTGTTATATCATAATGGTGATTTTTTGGTACGTGAAAGTGCAAAAATACCGCGTCAATTTATATTATCGGGACGATATAAAGATACATTTAAACATTTGTTACTCGTTGACCCACAAGGAGTTGTAAGTAGAGAAAGTACAGTCAGCTTTTGTTAAAATTTATATATGATTTATTCTAGATACGTACAAAAGATTTGGAATTCGATAGCATCAATCATTTGGTATCATATCATAAAGAAGGCAATATACCAATAGTTAGTGCTGATAGTGAACTATTATTGTTAAATCCGATACATCGAAAATAAACTTCCATTTTGATATTTTATCCTTGCTATTCTTGTTCTATATATAGATATATATTTATAAATCTATCAGCTGTTGCTTTTTGATCTCCATTTTAAACGACTTTTTTTTTCTCGTTTTGCTAAAAATCTTCAAATTAAAACAAATATTGTAGATCATTTTTTTTCTTCTGTATATGACATAGCATTTTCACTTTATCCAGAATCTCACAGATGGATTTTGGTCAGTCATTTACTCACCGTTCGATAAGCTATCAGACATTTTTCTGATATTGCAAAAAAAATTGTTAACTCATAGAGTTTTTCCAACTGAACGATATTTTCTACTCACCGCTTTTGTAACGACAAGTGTAAACTACTTCCGTTTTTCTTCAAGAATCTTATTTTATTTATGTTCTCTACAAAACTTTTTGTTGTGAGATCTAAGTTTATTTGCAATCATTTCGTTCAGATTTCTCTCTTCTTTTTTTTTCTTTTTTTTTTTTTCTTTTTACTGTCCAACTAAATACACATAATCGACAAAATCTACGACTACTACTGTCCGACTTTTTCCATTCGCAACGTGGTTAGTGAACTGAACAGTTTTTATAATCTATACATAGTTGTTACTCAATAAACCTTTTCTTTGTGGTCTAGATCGATCGTTTATTGTTTATTTTTTAAACATACATTGATGTTAAAAATAAAATCTGTTGTTTCTTTTTCTGAATAATCAAAATAATTTTTGCTATTTTTCTTTGTCTTCTTTTCATGTTAGTTTCTATTATATATCTATAGAGCTTCTTTTCTGTTTACTCTACTACTATTCGCTCATTTGATCAGGTCAATTTTCATTTAATATTTTTATAAACAACGTTTTCTCATATTAGATTAAAATAATGTTTGTTAGTTTTGTTTCTAAATCATTTTATGTTTACGTTGAAAAAGTCTGACTAATGACATTCGGAGAAGCGTAGAAAAAATAAAGAAGAATAAAACTGATTTTACGCTACAATGATTTGATGATTGACTGATTTTTGATTGAGCATCCAAATTGCTTAAAATATGAGATATAAAATGTCTCATCACAAAGTGTAGAATTGAAGGACTACAAAGGTACGAAAGTGCTTCATTTGTGATCATCTTAATTTAATGTGGATAATGCATTCAGAACCTAAAATTGTCGTGTCCTTTAGAAGTGTTGATACGTGAGAAGGACATAAAATATGAAAAATTTCTTTTCCTTTTCTATATTATTGATTATCTTGTTCCTGTAGTTAATTGTCAAATATAGACATGACCTTCTATGATGTGAAAAATGACAACAAATCGCCGATCAATTACAAGTTTTTCAGCAAAATATTTTCCGATTAATTACGATTTTGATGACATATGTCGCTAAGAAAAGGAAGCAATAATGTTGTTCTAACATGTATTTTAGGCTTGGCGGTCAAATTGGTGGTATAATTGTCTATGAAACTATCCAAGCATGAACAAAATTGTGAACATAATAGGACTTTTGTGAATATAATTAGACTTTTGACCCAGTTCTTAGTTTCAGACTAGATAGTTGATTTTTTCTTGTTCTGATAGTTTACAGCAGGATTCGTCACGGATCCGGCTAACTTTTTTGAAGCATGTCTACAAGGGTCGGGTCAGATCGGATCGCGGTTTCTTCCTCTATATAGATAGGATGCAGACTTCGTAAATATTCTACTTTCGAGACTTTATCTTACACTTCTTACTTCAAATTTGGTTCCTTTTTTCCGTTGATTTTACAAATCTGTGTAAAATCAACGGAAAAAATACACACAGATTTGTTTGTTCCGAGTTTTCCCTTTGAGGTTTTCAGTTTATTACTAACAGCACCATCTATGACTCTCATTTGTTTGCTACTTCGATATTTTAAACTCTCTATGTTATCGCACTCGAAAAAAATAATTCTGTGACTTGTTGAGAATGTACTTCTTATAAACAAAACAATACAAACTTTAGTTTTCTACAAAACTTTCCATTTAGTGCCGATATGCTTCTACGTGATATTGAAAGTATTTAAATGTCAGTTTTGAAAACTTCTCCACTGATTCATCTATTCAAGCACCATATCACACAATAAAAGATAGATAAACAAAAACACATGAATAAAGTCTCTAAAAAATTCTGCGAAAAGTACTTTTTCGCGTCTTGGTTTTCCATATAAAACCTATCAAAACGGCTTTTGAACTCTACTGTTCGGATCTTTGCTATCACGAACCCTGCATGAGAAAATCACTGATGGATTAGAAACTGCATCGTCATTGTGTCGCTTCTGACGTTCCCGTGAGAGTACTCTTAAAATCAATTGCACTATCTCTTTGAAAACAGAGTTCTTCTCATAAGTACGATGGGATCATGAAGAAAAAATATTTTTGGTACAGAAGTCTTTTTCATGCGATTAAGAAGGTATCCGATCGAAGGAATCTATTGGTTCATTGTTATACCTTTGACTTGAGAAATTTGATATAAAGCTGGTACCGATTGAAAATAAAAGTCTTTACTGTACAGCTGGAAAAGACGCGCACATCGCTTTACTCTATTCCGGGTCAAAGCTGTTTTTAGGAAAGATGAGTTATATCGTCGATACAAAGTGTTTAGTAGAAGAGTAGGATGAAATAGAATAATATATCGACATCGCTCACAGACGTGCATCCGGATTCGGCGTTGTCAAAAAATATATTCAATGCCAGTGGATGAATTTACAAGAGTGTCGGCAATCGCTTTACGGAGAAATGATCGGTGACAATCTACGGCTAAGAAATCTCAATAAAGAATCGTGCTTTCATCGATATGGTTGATTGATGTCACAAAATAAAGAAATTATTGAAAGTGAAAAATTCTGAACATTTTCATACGATAGCGTACGGGTCAAACCACACTGGAGACATCAGTCTTAGCGGGCATGTCTTCTGTCCCCTAAAATTCAATACTATTATTCTACATCCCATGAAACAAGGTATGAGGTGAAACATTTTATAAAAGTCATTTGCTCTTGTACTTTTGATTTTTATGATTTGTTGAATTACAGAGTGATCCATAAGTTTTGGATCCTCTCTGTAAATTGACATTATCTATATGAAATACATATAATAACATTCAGCTGTTTTTTGCAAAAGTTTCCCCATTTAATTCTCTACAAAATGGTATAGAATATAGGAGATGATCCTGAGAGTTGAGATGCCGTCGTAATTGAACCGAAATCGAACTGTCTCAAAACTTTCAATACCCCAAAATTGAAGAATGTATTTCGTCAGTATAAGCTTGAATGTATGCGTTATGCTCACATCGAACAGGCAAAAATATAGCCCTTGGAATTCTCTATCGAATGGCTATAATGCTAATTTTCTGTCGTTATTTCCGTGTTTTCAATAATGCTTTTTGCGCTGTGAATGTTTTTCAGTTTTTTCGATCTGCATTTTGGAGCTCTTTGTAAAATGAACGGTGCTCACTCACAAAATTTCACAAAAGGTTTTCCGTTTCTTAGAACATTGAAAGTTTTGGGACATTTCGATTTCGGTTCAATTACGACGGCATCTCAACTCTCAGGATCATCTATATATCATTTTCCAGAGAATTAAATGGGGAAACGTTTGCAAAAAAACAGCTGAATGTTATTATATGTATTTCATATAGATAATGTCAATTTACAGAGAGGACCCAAAACTTATGGATCATCCTGTACATATCTATCTTGAAAGATTTTGAAATATATTAAGTATTGAGTGACTTGTTGATGAACTTTTATTTAATCATTTCAACATGATGCACGTTTCATTATATGACGAACTTCAACATTATATTTAAGGTAAAAAGATTTTTTTTTCAAAAACTTCGCTTACATAATCCACGAACAGAATTTCTTTTTGCAATATATTTGTCAAAAGATGTTTCAGTTTTTCAAAAAAGTTCCCTAAATCGATAAGTTTTCTCCCAACGACCATCGGAGCAAACAGGCAGATTCTGCAGCTCTGGTTAACAGTACTACTACTAATTCTTCAGCCAGAGATACTGTCTCTTCAAATCGAATAGTTAAATGATTCACTTAAAAGAGTGTACAATTAGATCTAAGATTATAGTTTAGAGATTATAACGTTAGCCTAGAAATCTAATAGCACTTGGGTTGAATTTACGGTCGAGGGATACATTTTCTTTTCTCGCCTATAACATTCACTTTTCGCATATAGATTAACTCCGCATCTATATTAACTTCATGTTTAATCAGTTTGATATTGTTTATATACAATATAATCTATCAGAAGAACGAGACATTTGTAACGTCAAATATACTCCTACGGCAAACACAAAAATGATTTTATGATAAAAATCATTAGATATTTGACGGCGAGCTATAATTGAGAAAGTTGTAACTGTGGGACAAAAAAACAGATGTGTCATTCTTTTCTTTCTTTCAGTATTGTTATTATAACTTTATACAATTTGCTGTTACCGTCTGTTTTCTGCTAAGTGATTTATGTGCAGTGTTTCATTTTTTTTGTATATAAAGTAAACGTGATAAATGCACAATTAGTAAATATAAATTCAATGAAGTTCTTCTATTTTTAAAAGTATAGACTGAGGCAGAAAAAAGCCCAAGTATATGTATTTAAGTATTTATACTCTATTGTATGTTTCAAATTGAAATAAGAGGAAGAAAAGACAGCAAAGGAAAAATGAGATGCATAACTTTTACCTGTAAGAACAATGAAATGGCTAGTAAATTGTAAACATTTTTTTTTCATTTAACCCACCTTCGTCAATAAATACACCATCCTACGTTTGAACTTCAATAAACAAACATGAAACACGACTGGTATAAATGAGAACAAAAAAAAGAACAACAACACTAGTGTCATTTTTATATTTCGGTCACGCATGCCTTACGCTCACAATGTGTTATCTAATTAAAAAATATTCCAATAATGTTGGAAATAGGCTTGACATGTCATTATAATTACTCAAGCTCAAAGATCATAATCTTTTACGATTGA